AGCTACAGATGACGCGGACAGACGGTTCCTCGGAGATCAATACTGCTCCTTCTGTGAATATTACCGCTCCAGGAGGAGCTATTATCAGCTATGCAGAAATCGATTTTGCGCTTCTGGAAGATAAAGATTCAAACACCGAAACCCAAAAACAAGGAACTGATAAATCAGCGGTTAGTTAAAGAGAAAAGAAATTTGTAAATAAAAATGATAAAACATTTATCTTGCTTTTATTTAAACTTTAAATTACCTAGATATTCTAAGAGAAGTTTTGGATAAAATAGTATTTTATTTAATCTTACTTTACAGATAGAATAGATATGTAAAAGAAGATTTAAAAATTTGAATACGACTCATATGATAATTGTATTTTTTGAATATCATGAATTAATTTATTAACAATTATATTTGTTACATAAATATTAAATTTTATAGAAAGAACTATTTCCAATTTTGGTATAAGTTTCTACATGGAGAACGACAGAACAAGACCAAATACTTTCATGGTTTTTGACTTTGCTGCACAGAAAAAATCAAATATTCGAAAATATCTTATGCCTTATTTTGTGTTAAACCATATCTGGTTTACTTACATTATTTAAAAAAAAACATACACAGTAAGATTCTTAAAGAAATATCGCTTACCAAAAATCTAACGGAAAGGGATGATAAAATATCGAGAAAAAAGTAGTAATCAAGCTCAAATGTCAGTTGGAACAAAATGAATCAGAAGCAGAGGGAACAATAACCTCTAAAACATAGATGGGATCAGATGTAATGGACGAAAAAACATCTCCACTGACTGTTCACACATCTGTGTGCTTCCTCGTGAGCTTACGTAGATTAACTTTGAATACGGAACTCTCATCTATTTATCAAAGCGTGTTACATGCTACTTTTCCATTCAAACATATAAATTTAATTTTGAATTATCACATTAATTTTTTTCTAAAAAACGAAATTGGCTAGTCACTTCTTCTTCGCATGATTTGAATTTTTCTGCTTCCAATAATGAATTCCAATTTTTGGTCATATTCTTTAAATACACAGTATGTGTAATATATATATATATATATATATATATATATATATATATATATATATATATATATATATATATATATATATATATATATATATATATATATATATATATATATATATATATATATATATATATATATATATATATATATATATATATATATACCTTCATCACCTGCATACGGGGTTTATATCTCTCAGTTGATTTGATACGCAAGAGCATTCTCTTACTTAGGTCAATTATTGACAAACAAGTTGATGTAACAAGGATATCAACAGTTTCCTTTAGAGTCATCAATTCACAAGTTTATGGTCGAAACAATGACTTTGTCTGCAAATACAATTTATCATTGAGTCAATTGCTGCTTGACGTCTTTTTAAACAAATTCTTAAACTAATTTTTAGGCCATTGTTTATACATTGAATTCAGTGTCGACGGATTTTTTCGAATGGTATTTGAACAGTATTCAAGCTCAAATGTCTATTAACAATACAAAACAGGAGCAGAGCAAACACGGACCTCCAAAATATCAGACATGGGATCAGGTGCCATGGAGGAGTGAGCATCCCCTGCCGACCGGTCACATCCGCCGTGTGATCCTTATCATGATAGGAAAATAACGGAGAAATCGGTGGGCAACTCAGTTTGTAAAAAATGGATTTAAAAAAATCAGTTTGGAAAAATTCAGTCAGCAATTGACTTGATGATAAATTGTATTCGCTGACAAGGTCATTGAATCGACCGTAAAAAAAATTACGAAATGATGCGTATGACAATAGAACTTACGATATGAGGACTTTTTACGAGATTGCTGATTTGTAACTTTTTACAAGATTGCAGATTTATATTTCCCAAAACTTTTTTGGAAAGTCATTAGCCTTGATAAACAAGTTCAGTTGTTTGAACTAGATACATTTTGTAAGTTTGGATTTTTTTTTTTACTGTAAAGGAACCAGTAACCAGGAACATAATTCTATTTTGATGTTATTACTTATGGCATGTCAACATTTGCAAAACATTTAAAGAAAAATGAACAATGAATGCTAATTGCGCAAATTTTGCAGAAAGCCTTGAAAATCATTTCCTAGTTATAATAAGAAAAATTGTTTTGAAAAATGGACATGATAAAAGCATAGATTTGTTTCTGAATACTAATAAATGTTAACAGTTTTATAAATTATTTGACATATATACACTTTATTAATTAAAAAAGATAACGCTGGTTTTTTTTATTTTTTTTTTTTTTTTTTTTTTTTTTTTTTTTTGGTAATATATAAGTTGTACTTTATAATCAAAACCTAAAAAAAGCCTTGCAAATATATATAGAAATCTTATTAAAAATTTTATATAAAGTACATTTAAACAATACAAATAGGGAGAAGGACAAACACAGACATCCAAAATATCAGAGGCGGGATCAGATGTCATGGAGGAATAAGCATGTCTTGTCAATTTGCAAGGATCTTTGCTATTATCATGTGAATGGGAGATTCCGTAGACAATCTAGTGTGTAAATAATGGCCTTACAATTAGAATGAAAAACAAAAAGTCAGCTTTTGTCCTAATGATAGATTAATTTTCTAATAAAGTCAGTGTATCGCCATAGGGATGCTGAAAGGTGACTTCAAATGAGACCGTTGTTATCCTTGTTTCATAAACTTGTTGGTTAATAGCTTGTATCGTTTAATAAATTGATCCTATATGTGGAGTATGAACTTGCGCATCGAATCAACTGGGAGAGACAAGCCGCACTGCAGGTAAGAATAAAGTTTGACAAAAGAAAAATTAAGATCATCACGTTTATCATACCGTTTTTATTCTAATCAATTTTATGTATGATTAAGTGTTTTATGATTATATTTTCTATTTATATATACACAGCGTTTAAATAAATAATATAATCCATTTCAGAGTAATCTATTTTGATACTGAATACATGTAGTAAAAATACCCGGTACTTAAAATATAAACAATACAGTTTAGGAGAGATGGATAATGGACACGAAATCAGTGGGTATTTTACTTCTCCTTAAAGACAATCATATTTATTCATGTTGAATATTTTAAACGTCCAAAACTTGATATATACTTATTTACAAACACCATAAAGTTGCCCTGTCCATATACAAAATAAACGACCAAATCCCAGTGTCCCACTTTGAACATCAAAATAAATCAGAGACTTACTGCTTTCATTTCCTATAAAACATTTTCATCGGAGAGTCTAAGATTAAGAAAAGTATTGGAAAACAGGCTTTGTGAAACTGCAATGTTCTTGAATTTTGAAGAAAATGAGTAAATTTAAGCATTTTCTACTCATGATTAGAATATGAGCCCACCCTGCGATCCAGAAAGTTTTTCATGAATAATAATCCTCTGAAACAGTTCTTTCATTAATATATTTAAACATCTTAGATCAGAGTTTTGGGGCTATGCAAAATATTCTAAACAGCTTCCATTTGTACGGCAGCCCAGTGGTGCTGATATTAGTGATAAAATAGGAACAGTTGTCAGACAAACTCCCAATTTGGTTTATAAAAAATGTTTCCAAAATTATATTACAGTGAACAGTATTGAAAGTGTAAATTCTATTTTGAACTTTTTTAAAAACAATTTGAAATTAATTATTGTTTAAAACAAAAGTTAATGTTTTCATTAAACAAGTTTTGTTTTGATATTTATTTCTGACTTGCAGCTTTAAGTTCATTGTTCGTGGGCGTGTCAGTTTATTCTTTATAAAGTTTTATATTTTTTTCTTTCTGCGAGTGTGGTGTTTGTAAGGTTTTTGTGTTATTTTTTTTTTTGTTTATTCATTTGTTTGATCTGAAGAATAAACTTATTTTTGTTTAATTGATTCTACAATGTTTCTTTTCTTCCGGACTTACACAAAATCCAAAAGAACTCATTACAAATACATTTTCTTGGTTGTAAAGGATGAATAGCATCTGTGAAACATTGAATTCATCCAAGTAATTATGATATGAAACAGGAATAAATGTTGCCTATGCAATCTAAAATATGTAAGAAATTGGGCACTGTTGATTACATCATCGTTTTTTGAACGTTGAAGTAAAAGATCTTTAATCGCTCAATGGCCCTGAATACCTCTAGAATACCCTTTAGGTTTGAATTCAAAGCCCTTCACCTGTAGAAGGTGACAGCTCCTTGTGAGTAAAAAGCCTCAACTGTAACTTAAAATCCTCTAAAACAGTCAATCAATTATTCTCTTAGTTAAATTTGTTTTGTGCTTTCATTTCAGCGATTTGTTTGTTTAATTTTTTAACTCCATCAATTGCCAGTGGAGAGCTGCAAATACGCTGCAGCTTTTATGCATTCATTGTTCTGTTTGCTAGCACCTATTGCGGTACCAGATGTCGGTTTATACTAAAAACCCGTGTTTATGTCCCACAGTGGGATTCAAAGCCGCAACTCTTAATTTGTGCAATTCTAGAGCAAACCGTTCTGACCACTGCCACAAAAGGTATGCTGCTGATGTATATTCAAAATTGATGTTATGATTCGTTGGTTCATAAACCCGAGAGACTAGTCAGAGAATGTTTTAAAACATGTTTCTGTATGTTTCCAAAAACACAAATGTATAAAGCCTGTAAAAATTATCTTGATATTATAATATGAAGTGATTTTTAATACCGGTACTTAACTAATTAATGTTTCAAACGATTTGATTTCTTTATTAGATTATTACAAACATCATACAACTGTTTCTTATTATTTGTCTTATGTACACTTCAGTCTCAAAGGTTTTCATCTTTGTTCATTTTGTTAAAATATGACATCAGCTAAGTGTGGTGTAAATACAACCACACATTTACTATAACCTATGGTTAGCTGTTTTATTAATTAAAAACTAGAATTTGAAACCTCATTGGCGTATCTTTGTCCATAAATAAAAGATTCACGGAAACGTATTTCCATTTCTTTAGATAAACATTTTGCAACCTTGTAGAATAATGAAGTCAGTTGTATTATTTTGTTTAGTTTGTGTTTGTATTGTTACATCAGATGTTCTTGGACAAATAAGGAACGACAACAAAAGGGTAAGGAATAACAGAAATAAAAGCATCAATTTTGACAAGAAGAAAGGTATTTTGTCGGCATATATGTTTTCATTTTTTCAAACTAATTCAGAAAATTTTCAATTTTTATCAGAATTTTAACAGATTTGATAAAGATTATCTTGAGTGTAAGATCTTACTCGTCACAAATTCTACTTCTTTACCTTTTTACGTAAAACTAATATTTAAAAAATTGTATGAAGATCATATGCAGCTGAAATCGGCCTATTATTACATAAGCAAGAAAAGTTTAAGATGGAATAGATTATCTCGTATGTTATACAATTTAGTCAGCCTTTGTTGTCTTTAGTCATTAAAACATCTAAATATGAAGCAGATGTGTCTTAAACTGTGTGTCTTTTACTTTGTAATGGGAATTCAACAACTTAAATTCAAAACAAGATAGTTATGAGCGAACTACTTGTATGTATATTATGAAAAATACTTTTTAAAAAAAAACAGGTGCTATGGAAACCATGGGCCATAACAGAAGGGAGCAGAACGATAGAAAAAAAACTTAAGAATGCACCCAATTCTAATCGAGGTACTTGTTTTATGCAATTGTTTTTATCCCTTACACAGAAAATATGATCACAGTGTGTTGTTAGATTCCATGATTGAAAAAAAACTTTTCACAATATTTTTTCTTTAAGCTTAAAAAACAATTACATAGAACTTGAAATGACAACATGTAATGCGAGTTGAAACGTCCATTTAAAAATTTTTTGGCATTTCATTCGTTTAATAGAACATTCTGCTTTCAAAACCATTTTTATAAATTATCGTATCACTTTTTTTATTATTATTTCTTGGGATAGAATCCCTTTATACATTTGCTGGGCGAATCTTATTTCTTTAAGTAAACTGCTGTCATTTCCAGTACATCGTCTTCCTTGTCCTTCATATTGTTTAGAATGGTTTGAGACAATACATATAAGATACGTACATGTACTTCTTTTTTATATACTAACTTATCCTGAAATTGTCGTTATTTGTAGAACACTATTTTTTGGATAGTTTAAAGTGGCAAAATACTGATACGTCTAATTATTCTACTGATTTGATTTAATTTTTTTTTAATTTGTTTCAATAGACACAACCTCTGAGAAGAAATTGAATCCATTAAAATCATAAATGTCATATGTTAAGGACTTTAGAAACATATCGTATTTCATTTAGTCAACAAAAAATACGTATTAGCGAACGATGTTTGAAATAATTTATCATATGTATTATCCAGATCGATAAGACAATTTTTCTTAAAAGACAATACATGCAAAACGTTATTCGCAGGACGGCATGGGACGACCAGGTATGACCGACGTAGCAAAGTTACCACTCAACCTATAATAAATCACAGACCCGGTATAACCGCTCAGGTGGATATAACACAAGCAGTCACTACACCTGCTGTTTGCAATGAATGTAAAAGGAAGGATACCACTCAACAAACATGTAAAGCATTATGTCCAGATTTAAGTAAATTTCTCAAAAGCACATAATTTTTTATGAAAATGAAGCAGAATGATAACATTTTTATTTCAAAAATTTCTTCTAACGATCGATTAAAGGAAGGGAGAATTTTCAATAATAACAATTGAACATGTTATAAATACATGTATACTCTTAATGAACATTTTTATACGCTTGAAATCTTTCTGTGCTGAAAAATAACTTGTATCAAGTTTTGTGCGTTTGAAAGTTGTCTTTTTTGATATATGGCTGCATCAAATTTCTTTTTTAACCTTTTACAGCCATAAGTACAGGAGATGGCCCAGGCACAGGAGGTCTTGGAGATCAATATTGTTACTTTTGTAAATACTATCGTCTGAACATGACAAACTATAATAATTGCCGAGATCGATTTTGTGCTTCTGGATATCAGAATTAAGAAAAATAGATATCCAACAAAACTTGTTGTTTGACGTCTTTTCAAACCAATTTTTAAACTAATTTTAGGCCATTGTTTACACACCGAATTCACTGTCGACGGATTTTTCCGAACAGTATTTGAACAGCATTCAAGCTAAAATGTCCATTAAACATTATGAAAAAGGAGTATAGCTAACACGGACATCTACAACATCAGAGGTGGGAACAGGTGCCATGAAGAAGTGAGAATCTCTTACCGACCGGTCACATGCGCCGTGTGCTCCTTGTCATGATAGAAAAAAAACGAAAAAATTCGTGGGCAACTCAGTACGTAAAATGGCTTTAAAATCAGTATGAGTCAGTCAATAATTGACTTGATGGTAAATTATATTTTCCGACATATTTCATTGTATCAATCGTGAAACTTACGAAATGATGACTTTTTACGAGATTGCTGATGTAATTATTCCATTAAACTTTTTAAAAAGTCCACAGCCTAAATATACAAATTTTATTCAGTTATTTGAACTAGATGCATTTTAGTAAGTTAGGATTTTTTTTTACTTTAACGGAACCAGTAAAAGAATTCTATTTTGATGTTATTACTTATGGCATGTCAACACTTGCCAAATATTTAAAGAATTAAAGAAAAATGAACAATGAATGCTAATTGCGCAAATATTGCACATTGCCATTGTTTACACACCGAATTCACTGTCGACGGATTTTTCCGAACAGTATTTGAACAGCATTCAAGCTAAAATGTCCATTAAACATTATAAAAAAGGAGTATAGCTAACACGGACATCTACAACATCAGAGGTGGGAACAGGTGCCATGAAGAAGTGAGAATCTCTTACCGACCGGTCACATGCGCCGTGTGCTCCTTGTCATGATAGAAAAAAAAACGAAAAAATTCGTGGGCAACTCAGTACGTAAAATGGCTTTAAAATCAGTATGAGTCAGTCAATAATTGACTTGATGGTAAATTATATTTTCCGACATATTTCATTGTATCAATCGTGAAACTTACGAAATGATGACTTTTTACGAGATTGCTGATGTAATTATTCCATTAAACTTTTTAAAAAGTCCACAGCCTAAATATACAAATTTTATTCAGTTATTTGAACTAGATGCA